GAACAAGAACAAGAACAAGAACAAGAACAACAAGAACAAGAACAAGAACAAGAACAAGAACAAGAACAACAACAACAACAACAACAACAACAACAACAACAACAACAGCAAGAGCAAGAGCAAGAGCAAGAGCAAAAGCAAGAGCAACAACAACAACAACAACAACAAGGTACAAACAAAAACTGCAACCCCGTTACACCACATCTTCTTTCTTTTTCTCTACAAGGGGGTAGAAACAAATTCTGCAACCCCGTCGTTGTTTTTTGATCCCCCCAAAAAAACAACCAAACAACAAGCACTTTACTGGTACTACTACTAGTGGTACTAGTGCTACTGCTACTAGTGGTAGACACCCCCCACCCCGGGACGTGTGGACAGTGCGCGGGGCGTGTGCGGAGGCGGAGGGGGTGGAAACCCGGTTCTCAATCTATGCACTGAAAATCAATCTTTTCTTGGAGACTCCTGGAAGTTTTTGGATTCCAATGGAACAATATGGTCGATTTAAACGCCTTCTTAGGGTCTATGAAACTCCTCTGAGGGTCATGCTACTGGTGATGCTTATTGTAACTGGCTAAGTAAACCCTGAAAAACTTCTACTTAGAACCTCTACCACATCCTAGAAACAAAAACTGCAACCCCGTGGTTGTTTTTTGGACCCCCCCTTCCAAAAGATGTTGTTGTCTCTACCCCCCCTAGAAACAAAATCTGCAACCCCGTTGTTGTTTTTTGACCCCCCCCCAAAACAACACAACAAAAAACAAGAAGCAGACCAACCAAGACTTGAGTACCACAACAACAAGAAGTCCAGCTACTAACATCTCTCCAAACCTTCGACCCTATCCCTAACAGAATCCCATTGAAATCCCTGACTTGCAACATGTGACAACTATGTTGGGCGGCTGTTTTTGTCACCAACAACAACAACAACAACAACAACAACAATCCCTCCTTCCACTTTCTTTTTTGCTCTTCCCTTTCCCCCTGTTGTGGGCCCCTAGCCGGCTGTCGGGCGTAAGCCCTGAAATACCTAAAGGTCGAGGCCTTCGGTCTGGGCCTTTGGCGACAAACAGGGCCTGCTGGCCTGATTTCCATTTCTATGCTTAGAAGGGCTTGCAAAGAGGACCAGGTCTAGTCTTAGTCTACTCTGTGTATCCTTCATTGAGTCTGTGCTGCCTGCAGGACATCTCCATGTGCGATCCAAGGGGTGCCCCTCTGACCGCGACTGGCCGCGACAAACAGCGGCAGGAAAATCAGCTCGTGAGAAATCGTGACGCAAAGGAGCAGGTCCTGAGCTGACGATTGGATGCACCCCATTGCCCCACCTCCCTAGATCCACACCCTCTCGGCGGATGGAGATCCCAGCATATAGTGACACATTCGTGGCTCCGAATCATGGTATGGTGGGGTGAGAAGGGCCCCCGTTGGCCATTCGCAGTTCATGGTGTTCCGAAATCGGGGCCGTGCCATCCAACTGAAACATGATGGAAGAAATCCATGCACTTTAAGGATCTTTAAGGGAATCATTCTATAATGATAGGGTTGATGTCCAAACACACTCCCCTACACAATGCAAAGCACCAAAGTCATGACTTGATGACTCATGGCTGAGTCTTGCAGTGGTCCATTTTCTAGAAGTATTCTATTGTAGATGCACCTTGAGTCGAAAACTCCAACGTCTGCCACAGCATGCACGGCACGTGGTGACTGCCCGCGCAACAGGCGGGGGCCCATGTTTGAGTTGTAGAATGGCCTGTAGTCTTGTATATGGACTCCCTTCATGTTCCGGGTCATGGGATATTCCCCAAACTTCCAAGTTCTACCCTTGGAAGCGCAGCGTTGAACTTCGCCAACTCTGCCTTTGCTTCAGGCCCTACTGGGAATCACGCCGCCGCGTTGTTTGGTTTGCTCGTGGTTGGGTCTCCTGAGCTTTCTCAGGTCTTGTGGTCAATCAACGCCTTGGTGTTTCAAGCCGGGTCCCTCCCTCCCCACCGACCTTCACCACCGCCTCGGCCCAAGGTGCGCCGCTCAGCGCAATCTGCGCCACCACCGCGCCCTCCAGCGCCACGCGCCGCGGCCGCGCCGCGCGCGTGGCGAAGCCCCACACGATCACGTCGCCCTCCTTGGTGAGGGCGGCGGAGCCACTGGAAGCTGCACAGCGCATGGCGCCTGCAGGAAGGTGGGCAGGTTCCTGCTCCACCAGGAGATAGCTCAGCTCCAAAGCCAGCCGGATCATTCTGCAAGCTTGGGATGGTGTGCAATCAATCTGCCGCTTGAAAGCAGCAAGAGCAAAATGTGATGATGACTTGATGTATGGATGATATGGACATTATGGACTAATTAGGTTGTTTCTTGCTTCTGGTCACCACCAGCAACTTCTCTCCAAAAGCCTCCAGAGAAGACCTGTTCCAGTTTAAGTTCACACCTCAAACCACTGTAACCACCGTACCTCGCTGGAGAATCCCGACGTTGCTTTGACCAGACTGCTCTCAGTGGTCGTCTCAACCGCATGGGAGACTTGCCCATATTTTGCGGCTTTCCTAGCTGTTCATTCTTCAGCTGCAAATCATCAAACATCAATTCTATCCCCTGGCCAATCATTGGTAGTTATATAAAGCCAGTCTATACCCCCTTGCGACGTCGCCGCTTACAGTAGCAGGCCGTGCTTTGCAGGATTGGGCCCTGACATGCCCTGACCACGCTTGGAACACAACGAGTCACCACAAATCATTCATTCACAATAGTTCACCTTTCTTCACCATACAGCATGGTCGCACACCCAAAGATCCCCAAACACCCAAAGATCCCCACGATCTGTGCTCCACTGAGCTTCCGCACCCAACAAGTCTTCCACCAAGTTCGGTGCGCTCCGGCCCTCGACGTCGTCGTCGCCCAGTTGGCCCTGGGAGTTGGCACCCCAGGTGAAGCAGTTGCCAAAGCCTGCAGAGGTGCCGAGAACACCGGAGGCGTTGTGGCTGTGTTTTGGCTGCGGAATCACCATGGGGCGCGCCAGGCGTTTCGGCGTTGTGGCTGCCAAGAATGCGCCAATGGTGGTGGATGTTTTTTGTACTTTTCTTTTGTGCTCCGGAAGGCAGCTGTTCAGCTGTTGGCCAAGTAGCTGGTGATGGCACAGCTGTGCTCCTCTCCTGGATGAGGTTTCAATCGTCGTTTGGGAGGCATAACAGTGAAAAGGAGGAAACTCTTCAATTACAGCAGGGGAGTGTCAATATTTACATAAAGCAATTCAGAATAAATGGGCCTCACTCAACCTCAACTGCCAATGGATTACAGCATCTCTCCTTGCATGCGCTGGAAACAGTATATAATGTACAAGTATGTATTACATGTTTATCATGAGGTCACTGAGGTCTGTTTGAGATATCCCAATGGATGTTCTGAATAGTGCAACTTGGTGTGCCTCTGCCCCCGAAGTCATATACAGCAGTCACAAAGGGGTGCTTAATGGAGGGGGTGCCCAGAACATCCACTCACTTAGGGACTAAACACCAACTGGTAAGTATGTTTTTTCTCAGATTGAGCTGCCTGAAGTCCAACTGGGACTTGTGCGGCTTACGTGCGAGTTGCATGCTTCATGGATAGACCAAATAAATCAAACGTGAGCTTTGTTTTTGTGGTTTCCAAAAGAACACACCCAAGATTCAGAGACCCAACCTTTCAGCCAGGAGAACTGTGGATTGTCTATGTTCGTAGAATTCGCCCATCGCTCTTCATCCAAAACTGCAAGGACTCCAAAACCCACAGAGTGGGCTTGCTGGGCTGCAGCCTTGGTGGCTCGCTAGCCAGCGCCGGTTAAGGGGCCGGTCATCAGCGCGTGATTCGGACGCCATCGGTGGGACTGTCCCATCCAACCGTTGGCGATTGGAGAGTCGATGGCGATCGACTCTCAGGTTCTGGCAGGAGACAAACACGGGATACGAGACGAGTCTGTGAACCCTATAGCCTACTTCAAGCTTAAATTGTTCCCATGCTGCAACGGGTATATATATACTGTATTAGTATATATATATATACTAATACAATACTGTATTATATATACTGTACATATATATATATATAATATGTATGCTCCATGATGGAGCGCACTTCCGCAGGTGCCTCCATGCAGGGTGTGCTATCCCTCGTATCTCCGGTCCGGAGCTCCTGCTGCAATGTCGCACACCTGGACATGCGCCATGGCTTGGATGCACACCTGGTACCCGCGGTCCATCCATGTGGTCCCCATGGGGAAGCACATGAGAGGGTCGGAGCCGTGTTTCAGCCGGATCTTGTGGTGGTGTCTAGTGGGTTCTACTCATCCCTTTCCCACAAAAACATGAATCACCTTGTTGGAACAACCTATAAGTACAGATTCGGGGGGGACCTTGAGAGGATGCAACGATTAGTACGGAGAAGCAGTTGGAAGCGTGGACATGCAGCTTTCTTGGAAGTTTCGCACCCAGTTTCCAAGTCTGCCACTATGTAGGGCAAACAAATCTCAAGGGCTCCATGTAATGTAATCAAATATCTACCTGCAAACTGCAAACCTATATATTTGCTTGGCTTCAGTGGTATTACATGGTGAATTTAGAGCGGTGCCTTTCGGAATAGCCTCCGCACCTGGCACAAATCAAACAGTGATTGCACAATAACAGTGGGAGGCCGCTGGCGCTCACCCCGCTTTGCCAACGCTTTTTCTCCAGCTGCTGGGATGGCAGGTTTCGGGTCCCGCGGTCGCGGTCACATGATCTGCAGGCCGAGGTGACCAGTCTGTTGGGTCAACCGGGGTTTTGCGTCATTCCTGATGGTTTCAATCGGACGCACCAAACCCAGTCTGGAATTAAACGTAGCGCAACCTTTACGTTGTATCCATGCTTGCCCATATAGTCACGGACCAGTTGTTCAACCCGTCCCCCAAGCGAGAGTCTGCTAACAGGTGTTGTAAAATTGTTTGAGTCCAGCTTGTAAGGGTCCTGCAAGGTGGTCAAATTGACAGTCGAACCAAGCTATATGAATGAAACATTCCCCGTTGGTCTTTCTCCCCACCCCAACCTGATGTCCTTTCCGATTTCAAGGTCGACTTCGACCTCAGATTTCTGAGTACTTAGCGTGGAGGCCAATTGTGACAGGATTGTTTGAACGATCCACATCGCAATGATCTTTGCCTCTGCCTGTCTGATATCCGCTTCTGCTGCTTGTCTGATTTCTTCCACCTCTTTCTGCACATCAGCCAGCATTCCAATACCATCCGATATGGTGGCCGATTCTCGTCTGATCTGCACGTCATCTGGCAACTGGAAGAAGGCGCAGTCCCGCTTCATCTCAGCCACGCTGATGTTCCAAGGCAGCAAAATCGAACCATATCGGTACCAGTCGAGGATGTATCGAAAGCGCTCTTTGTTGCCCTCGACACCTTGGCTGTTATCACAATATTGTACAAGTGTGTGTGTGTGTGTGTCACACTCTGTCCCCAAGAGTTTGGTTTCTCAATCTTGAATGCAGGGGGCTCACGGGTCTGTTCCTGGCGTGAGCCAACAAAGCTCCAGGTTCAGACTAGGATATCGAAAGAGGACGCTCTTTCGACGTACCTGCCACCGAAACTTTTGGCCAAGCTTTTCCACTCCTCGGTTTTTCTTCCATGGTGGTTCCGCACGTTATACCCCAAAACAGGTTTCCCTCGGCCGCTTTCCACTGTTGCGCTGCTGCAGTCACGCATCAACATTGTTGAACATTTCGGTTGAGCTGATTTTGCGCCATTCCGGAACAGAGTTAACTGCAAACCCATTATCTATAGATAAGTGTGTGCCGCTCTGTCGTCCCACTGGGTGCAGAGTGTGATCCCCGTCACTGGGGCGCTGAGACCACTCCGGACTGCCGTGTAACTGATTCAGCGTTTTTCTGCATGCGTTGGATTCGACTCTTTTGCAGCCGCCCGATAAACCTGTACGTCCAAAAGGGACATGCAGCAATCGACTGCAAACGATTTTTAAGGACAAAAAGACTGCAACCTACTCCAGGCGCCGGTGTCGGCACATTGTGTGTGTCACACTCTGTCCCCAAGAGTTTGGTTTCTCAATCTTGAATGCAGGGGGCTCACGGGTCTGTTCCTGGCGTGAGCCAACGAAGCTCCAGGTTCAAACGAGGATATCGAAAGAGGACGCTCTTTCGACGTACCTGCCACCGAAACTTTTGGCCAAGCTTTTCCACTCCTCGGTTTTGCTTCCATGGTGGTTCCGCACGTTATAATACCCCAAAACAGGTTTCCCTCAGCCCCTTTCCACTGTTGCGCTGCTGCAGTCACGCATCAACATTGTTGAACATTTCGGTTGAGCTGATTTTGCGCCATTCCGTTCCCTCACCTTTTCAACGTGGAACAGAGTTAACCGCAAACCCATTATCTAAGTGTGTCAACCTTTAACTTTTTCTTGGGTTGTCGCTTGTTTACAATCCTTCAACCTTGACTATGTAAGGCCAGGCAGAATTACGTTAGGCGGGGGTGCTCAATGCCTCTGGCGCGACTTCCAGGCCCCGCCGTGGTGCTCCAAGCTGGTCCAGCAGGGAATATGTAAATGAACAAATATCAAAGGATTTTCTAAAAGGGAACCCATATCTTCAGTCAATCAGCTTCAAAAGAAACTCTATGTTAAAACGCATCAGCCCCACGCATTTCCTGTGATACTGTGGACACCAACCGGAAACATCTGCAGAAGAATATGTGGCGCAAGTTATTTCAAGAAATGCATTTTTAGCACCATGCCAAGGGAGATACCATCTATTATCTATTCAATGTAAAAACAATTATGTAATGTAATCAACAATGTATATGTCATCTTCAAACCACGGACCAAATGAAAAAGGTGCACAAGAGAACTTTCTATAGCACACACCGGTGGCAAATCTCCTTTGTCTTGGTTCTCCAATGGTCATCCAACAAAGTGACCAACAAGGTGTCGCCCTTGGCCCGAAGTGTCTGCTCCAGGATCTCAAAGTGTTCCCCATCTACACGGAATCGCACCAACTCACTTGGTGGATCATCTGCTGAAACTTCGTTGGTCCTGGGAAAAAGGATGGTGCTATGTAGGTGGAATTGGTCCTGCTTAAAAAGGGCAAACCTAAAATCTGTACAAAGTGTGAAGGCGACCAAATCCAAGCCCTGAGAACTTGAGAGCGTAAAACGTGGCGAGGCCAACCAAATCCAAATCCTTTCCGTTGAAAGTTCAGGCTCGTTTGCAGGAAAACCTTTGCCACAAACCATGCTAACTATACACTCTACAAATTCGTTTCGCCAGGTTCGGCGAAGTGTGTCTCGCTCTTTTGGACCTCTCGCTCATGGCCCGCGCTGAGCCGAAGCGAGGCTGAGCCGGCGTCACGGGGATCGTTTTTGGGCTAGGCCCTCTTTGGGCTACTCCCATCGACGGAGTCTGAGCCAGCCAAGGCGGGTGGATCTAACTATAGCTAGACTTAGATCCCTAGGGATCCAAGTACCTTCTCAGCAGGTGATTGGAGACACCGCTATGTAACTATGTAGGTTTGGAGGGTCCAAGTACTTGGATCCCTAGGAGATCAAGAAGGGCTCACGACTTGTATACCATGTCTAAAAGGAACAAGTGCTCTGACAAAGAAGCTTCAATTCTGCAAGCTCGCTTCGCAAAGCTCTTCTGGGCGGAAGGGGGCCAAAACTGCCAGAGTTGGAGTTGGGAGCACTCAGTGGGCCAGCTAGTTGGACTAGCAGCCAGGCCTACCAGAACCGCTAGTGTTTGACAGCTCCATTTGTATAGATTAAATATTTACCACCCAGCCAACAATCATGGCAGTGGACCATTGACCACTTTCACACTAAGCTGCTTCAAATGCATATACAGTAATATACAGCGTTATAATGTACCTCTTTTTCTGGGAGCTCGTGTAGTCATTCTTCATTGCACAACCCTAAGGTTTCAGCCAAACGTTGCCCACTGCTAACCCCAAACAACAAGGCACAAAGGTCTCAGCCACGGCGCTGGGATACGAGTTTCTTGCAACTCTCCGAGGCCCAGCTGAGGACCAACGCCCATGGAAAAGACCAAGCCTCCACAGCGAGCCGGCGCCAACAAGCAACGTCTGTTGAATAGGGGCCTTCAACACGAAACCCCGACTCTCCTGCCTGTCTCGAAGAAAAGGTGGTTGTTGATCTGTGGTGTTTCACTGAGCAAACACACCGATCGAAGATCGGCAACGATTCACGTAGGTTGTGGCGGTCCATGGTTCATAGATGTTCACATCAAAAGAAACAGTCAACCCTACTATGCAATGCATGTCCTATGCAATGCAATGGTTCATAGATGTTCTATGCAATGCATGTCCTGTCTTGTTTGGGGACCACAATTCCAACCTCGTCTGCCCATGTCATGTCTGCTTTTCTTTCACGAAGGCCGGGCCCTGGCCTTCAAGGGAGAGCAACAGCGAGTGCTTTGGACCACAGGAGACGCGGCCCACGGAGACTGGCAGTTGCAGTTCTTGCACACGTCCAAACGTGGCCTCGAGGACGAAGAAGGGCCGGTCACAGGCGGCCAAGACGGTCCCCACGTCGTCCCGAATCGAGCTGGTTTTGGGGGCTGATTGGTTGGGTGTTGAAGCTGATGATGATTTGCCTTGCTGAAAGGTAATTACTGTAGTTTCTGTGGGTACTGAGGCGGTTTCCAAAAACACCTGGAAGCTCCCATTGATCTGAGTGGTGAACTATGCTCCTTCACCTGGTGGGAAGTTCTTTTCTTCAGGGGTTGACAGTTGTCTTCGGACCCACCCAGCATCCACACACTACAACGAAGTTTCCAACCCGTAAACGATTTATCATTATTTATTATTCTTCCCTAGGGCTCCAACCATATCCTCAGAAGGTGGTTAGACCCCCCTGGCACCCACCCCAACCACCTTCTGTAGGGCTTGCCGCGGCTTGCCCACCTAACTTGGCAAATCCGGGTCTTGCAGCAAATCTATCAAAACTAAGTCGTGCACTTGCAGGACTCCGCCACTTTCACTTTTGCAGAAGAATGATTGATCAGCAATAGCATGGTGCTTTGGTGGGTGGCTTCAATTCACTCACAAGGGTATGAGTCAGTGGGTTCACAATCATCCCAAGCAAAGGTTAATAAAGTACTAATACAGTAAGCCACCCACCACGCGCGTGGTGGCCCCCATGCAAACATCAGATCGGAAGGTCGCCCCGTGCAAATCCCTCGTGGATCGCTGGCCACTTGGACTCCAGCCAATGGAAGACCCCCCAGCTGGACCCACTGGTCACAGGGAACATACCCTAGGGATCCAAGTACCTTCTCAGAAGGTGATTGGAGACTATGATGTGTAGGCTTGGAGGGCCCAAGTACCTTCTGAGAAGGTATGTGGATCCCCAGGGATAGACCAAAATCCGATTGAGAAATCTCCCAATTCTGCTACAAGCCGAGCCCATCCCAACCAGCTGGGATAAGTGATCAGCCCAGGTGCCACCATGCCGCTGCTGCACAGCGCCTGCGCCTTCCGATCGCCTGCGTTTGCGCGCTCGTGGAGGCCGGCTGGGTTCAGAACCTGGCAGAGTCGGTGAGGAAAGGGATCCGTTTTCGTACCGAACCTCAGGTTGGGTACGACTGGACCCTCCTGGCACCGGCCAATAACAGTGCCTCCACACATCACCGTACCTGAGAAGGTACGACTGGATCGCTAGGGGGATCAAAGCGAGTTGGGAAGTACATGTGGGTTGGTTGGCAAGAAGCTAGTGAATTCGCTTTCCAGTGATTATGTTTTCCAGAAGTGTTTGGGCCACCTAGACCCAAAACATGAATTCTTCACTCTGACACCACCTCCCTTCATCCTGTCTGTCGAACTCGACCCGGGTCAGCGCCTCAAAGGCAGCTCCTTGTGTGGTGATGGCCACCAGCAACTGCCCCATGCTGGACGCTTCCAGAATCTCATGCTCCAGTAAAGGCTCCACCAGCCGAGGGCCTCCACTTTCACCATAAGGCTCCATGAGGTAGAGCCTCATGTCCGATGCTTCTTCCACTGAAAACAGGAAGCAAAGTTAGGCTTCAGCTTGCGTGGCTGGGCATGGAGGCCCTGGACTTGTCTCGAATCAAAACCATCCTATTACCAGGGCCCCCTAAGGGGTGTCTAATTATAGCTCCTCAATCAAATGTTAAGGGGATTTAAGGGGTATCCATTCACCACCCCAAACAGAAGGCCCCTGATACCATTTCCAACCATCTCCCCCTTCAGAAGGGCACTCCATCCATCAGATCCGCCGGCTCCCCCCACCCGAAACCAGCGGCTTCTTCCCCCGGCTTCGTCCGGCTTCGGTCCGGGCGGCTTATGGTCCATGGTGACGAAGGCAATGAGTCCCAAAGGTCCGGTCCCGCACTGCACGGAGCGCAGTGGAACCACCGGCCTCGTTCCGCGTGACGACCGGTGCGGTCGGACGGCGGGCTTCCGTGGAACCAGGCGGTCCGACCGGGGTCGAACATAGACATCTAGTAGACCCATCCCAGACACGACTAATGGGGAAGTGGTATATATTATAAGATATATGCCTATTACATTAACCCCCCTGGCACCACCACCACCCCAATGTATAGATGGCAGTCCCATGGAGTGTCTGGGCATTGCTTCTCCCTACATTAAAATACACCCAGCTTCAATCCGTCGGTGTCTCATGCTCCACATGCTTTCCAAACCCCTTGAAGCAAACCAACACCAACAACCGGCTAAGCCCCTTACGAGGCCTAGCCAACGACGAATTTCTGGACATCTCTTTTTGATCGGTTCCCATTTTGGAGGTGATTTTTCCGTCCTGAACAGGTCGCGAGGAGTGCTCGCTGCAGTGGCACTGGTGCGAAACGGTTTTTGATGGTTTTGTCTCTTCTTGAAAAGGCCCACAACCGTTTGCCAAACGGAGGTTGAGAGATCCAGTTCTTCCGACGTACTGTGAATCACTGTCAGCTTTAAAGTTCCCAATGCGCTCAGATGTGCTCAGTGTGAGATGAGCACATCTTACCAGTTTGGTGAGACAATCGACTGAGTTTTGCAGCTTTGGGTGGAGCTTTATTACTAAGACCTTGAAATACCTGGCTGTACGTACTGAGACCGACCGACCGATTTGGCCGGGGTCTTGTTCGGCACAGGGGCTGGCGCCCCATGGGTTTGATCCACAGAGATGTGGAGAAAAAACAAAAAAGGGCTCCGGTTGGCGCAATGGAGGGGCCCAGGTTCAAATACGCTCTAGTTAATCTCTTACAAATTGATTCATGGACCTGACCAACCCACAGAAAAAGAATAGTGAATAGCAATCTTCTTTCGCCAACTGCGAGCAGTCATCTTCCAAAATGTGTTGTCCGTATTTGTCCGTGATTCTCAATGTGTCCGTTCTGAACCAGGTAAAAGTCTAGCTCAACCGTGGCCAAAACATCTAAAACATGCACACAGCAACAACAAACACAGGCACACACATCAAGCGCCAAGCATCTGGAACAACTCCGGAGCCGGCCGCTCCACTGCGTTCACGTGAGTCCCGCGCGTCTTCCAAATCAGCACCTCCGGCGTCCGTGGAACCGCGCGCCCGTCCGCGGTGCTCGCGCAGCTGCCGTGCAGCGCTTCCATGGTGGAGAGACCATGAAGTCCACACGCATGGAGCGGTCGCGATTTCGCTGTCACAGCACCCTCCAAGACGGTCACCCACGAGGTGAGCGAAAGCGACCGGTCAACCGGGTTTCGGGTCCAGGACCGTGGTGTCCGGTGTGTAGGGGTGGTGAACGGTAGGAGGTGACCTCCGTTACGCGGTTCGGTATGACTGGACCCGAACATGGCACCGGCCCCCAGTCCCAACGAAACGAAGGTATGACTGGAGCCCCAGGGTGAGAGAAGTTGTCACTCTTTTGCTGGCTTGGAGCGTTTCAAATGATCAACTCTCAACTCTCAACTCTTGGTCACTCTTCAACTCTCTCTTGGAGCGTTTCAAATGATCTAAACCTGCCGCCAAACCACAGGTGGTCAACTTTCAAGGGGCCGTGTTTGGGAAGCGTGGTAGTTAAAAAGTGCACAGGAATAATTACTCTGCAAATACTTTAAATTGGCCGTAGCACACGGGAGGGTTCCATATAACTTGCAGTAAGGATTTGCCATTAAAGAGGGGATGGGCAATTATCGTTTGCCCTCATTTGATACAGTCCGTATATGTTCCACACGCAGCAAAGCAGTCTTTGGAGCCGAAAGAACACAGATCTGGCATGCGCAAGTCGGAATTCCTAATTGAAGCTTGGAGTTGGTTCCAGTCCCCATGCACAGACTCATTGCCTATGTATGCCTATGTATTATTGCATGAGTGGAAACACAAACACAATCATTCCGCACATCGAGGCTTCAATGCAATGGACTGATTATCCACTTCAGATATTCAACCTATAGAAGAAACGCCTTCAACCTTGCCTTAAACCCAGAACCCCCCATGTTTCTTCACCCTCCTGCGATCAGAGTTTGCAAGCCCACCGGTTTCCTCACCCACTCGCGACGCGTGAAGGGCGTCTTCTTTTCACCACCCAAAAAGTGCTGTGCTCAGTCAGATCTCGTTCCGCTCGCCTTGCCGGAGGGGACCAACATAGGAGGACGCTCCAGGCACCGGTGCACATCTCTGCGGCTGTGATGTACGTTAGGTTTGCAATTGGTCAAGAAATAGATTCAGATCCAACACCCTTCAGATTTGGATCGTTTTTTGGGGATGAAAAAAACGATTTTGGTCTCTGGCTTGACCATCTTGCTGTCTTTTTTTTCAGATGTCAACCAACCCATCTGTTGATGTTGCTGCACACGTCTGTAGGGTTGGGTCACTCATGGTCACTACTTAAGTGTAGCGCGGCTCCTTGGACGCTGGAGGACGCTCAAACGACCCGTGTCCGCCCGTGTCCCTTCTCCAGCAAAAGGCTAAAAAGCATGTTGATTGCTTTTTGCCACCAAGAGACCGGTTTGTCACCTTGTTTCTCACTGGCCCAACTGAAAGTCCAAGCTCATGGCCCATTGCCTTCTTCCACGAGGAGTTCGTTTGCGTCTTCACCTCACTCCCAGAGTTTGATAGGCTGCTCTTGGAGGGGCCCCTCGCAATCAAGAGGTATCCATCAAAGCAACAGGAACCCCCTGTTCCATAAGGTACGCAGCGTCGCAGCATCCCGCACTCGCCTTTTTGGTGCCTTTTCGACGCGCCGTTTTGGGAGCCACAAAATTCGTACCGCCTTTTTGGGAACGTCAAGGAGGTGGCTCAGAGCGACCCTGGACCATGAAAAGCTCCTGATAGGATGTGAACAACTCCTTGCCATGATCATGTGGGTCGGAGTCACCCTTGGGTCGTTCCTTTTCAAGCGGGAACCGCCATGGCATCCGTCATGGCCAATGGAATGTCAGTGTGCCGAATTGAGAGATAAGTTCCAGCGCGCAGCAACGGAGGTGTCGGATCGATTGTGTGATGTGTTTTTCCGCCTCCTTTCTGTGGGGAGTGGGTTTGAAGACCCCCCCTGTCAAACAGTTGTGGGAAAGGAAGCTGCAAGTGCGAACAACCATCTGCTTCTGGATGTTTCGAGAAGAAGGAAAGAATGTCGATAGAACAATGACCGACAACGACCCTACTATATAGACCCTGTCAAAGTGGGTTCAAGGAAAGTCACCTACTTCGAGCATTCTGTTCGGCATACATGTCCCAACGACTCACAAGAATTCTTTCAGGAAGCTTTCCCCTGGGTCCCACACTGTCAACATAATGGTCTTTAGGGTTCTTTCGCAGACCTGACCAGGTAATTCCATCCCTTCACAAAATAAGTGTACAGTCTTTGGGCTTTCAGGGTTTTCATCTTCCTGCTTAGCTTTGCAGGCCTACAGTAGGCTGGAAATGACAAATGTTCCCAACATCTGAGGGTGCAAGCTTCAGGAAGCTCCTTCGTGCGGCAAAAGGGTGTCCCTTTCAGTAACCTGAAGTGATTACACGCTGTCTTTTGCATCATAAAAGCCGCCATAAGCCGCCAAAACCGCCACAGAATCTGCTGCAGGGTTCTGCTTCTGTCCCTCAACTTCCTCTTTTCAAAGGTCCTCAACAGACCTCGCTGCTGGCTCAAGGTCAATGCTTTCAAACAGTGCCATCTGGAACTGGCCGTTGGTCGCGACTCAGTATGGGGAGAAGTCTCCAGTTGATTGGATGACCCCGTGAACGAGACGCGGACTCCAACCTGTAACGCATGAACACCCGCTGCTTCCAAAGCGCGCGGGAACACGGCCACCTTTGCGACCGCTCCAAGCTGCGTTGATTCAAGTATGATGTGGATGCGAAGTCAAAGCTTGATTATATACCTATATAGAAGCATGCCATTGTTGTGAAGGGCTAAGACCCAGGACCTCAATAAATACTGGAAACACCCCAGCTAAGGACGCATTCTGATTCGATTTTCGCACCCTTTGTAGAAATGGTGGACCGTTGCTAGTGTTCACTTCATAAGCAGTTGTTACCTGAGGCAAGCAAGAAACCTCCAAAGTGTTCCATACTGCTGGGCAAAAACCACCAACATCTGCCGAGTTCGGGCCATGCGTACAAATAGATTGAAGATGGGGTGGCCTCCGAAAGCCAAGCCGACACCCCTGTTGGTGCACCGGAGTACATACATTACCATCGATCAATTTGTGGATCATGGCGCCATGCCATGTCGATCATGGGTTCAGTCGACTCTTCACCCAAGCCCATCCGATGCGTGGGTGATCTACATGAAAACGTGTCCTTCGACCGACCAAAAACCAACAAAGCCTAGCAATATGGTGTTTTGAACTAGGCCTTACGTCCCGCGCCTATCAGGCTGGACCTCCACTCATAAGTCACTAGGCTGGTTCTTCACTCAGTTTCAGTTTAGGAAAAGAAAGGTTAAGCTTTTTCCACCTGTTTCGTGGGGCGTCCCCAATCCCTCCAAAAAGGTCGGGCAGGATTTCCACTCAGTGGGTAGGTTAAGCTATGGATGCAGAGTGGCCGGAACAAGGACAGCGGAGGCGGTCGAACTGAACCGAAGGGGAGTCCTAACAACCCGAAGTCCTCAAGATGATCACTGCTGACATGCCAGAAGAATGAAATAGTATACAATATACTTGTAGTCTATGGCTAGACTTGCATAGATGCAAGTCTAAGCCCCTTGTCTTGACACGCCCCTCCTCTGATCTCTGGCTCACCCTTCACTCTCCTTCGCATCACATCCACCCTTGCGAAGGCTCGCTCCGCAGGGTCCCACGGGCCCAAATCAAAGTGAGGCCACGCGACGATCACATTTGGTGGGAGCCCCCCGGCTTCGAATCCGGGAAGCTGCCGATACGACATCTGACACGTCTGCGCCACCGGAGAACGTGTTGTCAAGAGGCATGTGTTCGGCCATGGCAGGAGGCGTCAACAATCAGATCAGGAATGCTTGAATTTCCATAAGGACATCTGAACACATGTTGAAACAATCATTCATATTCATGAATATATTCAACGATCGACGATAACTGTATAAGATAATCACTCAAAGAGGATTCAACACAGGTGTCTGAGTCTCTATGCACCAACAAAAACATCGGGTGTGTCCCTGTCATTATCGTTGCCGCACTTTGCAGGACCTACTGAGCAACAGTCAATTCATCTGGACACAACTGGAACACTGGTTGATACGCAAAGGCGCAGGTGTGGCAAAAAGACCCACTGAAGGTGGGCATGATCCGAAGATAGCAAGAAAATATCTCTGCTTCCATATCTTTCCATAATCGTTCCTAACGAAGGCATAGTTATATACATTACAGCTGGGATCAGGATCTTGGGTTTCCACTGCCAAGTGGATTTTAACTCACAGTTGCCCAAAAAGGCACTGCCGAAAGTGTCTGGACAATCACGGCCTCTATGCCATGGCAGGAAGTGTGTAACCCTTTTGTTGATGCAATGCAAACAACCCATAATGCAACCAATCTTCATACACCATCATCATCCATCATCTAAGAGTCAGTTCCATGGTCCGAGTCCATGGTGTTTTCAAATGTTGCACCTGAAGCCAACTCGTTTGGTCACAGGCAACCACCCCAAACAAGGGTACCCTTCTTCAATCACCTTTGGCACTTGTTCTCATGTGCAAACCCAAACGTAGTGAAACGAACGAAGATCTGACATCTAAGCTTGTTGTAGTAAGATGTAGTAAGTGCTCTGACTGGTGAAACTTGCCTTCCAGCTCTTGCTATCCATCTGGTCCTACTCTAGGCGTGCCGCGGCGCTTCTTGCCTGCAAGTGGGACGGCAAACAGCCTCACCTGGCATGATTCATGCTGGAATGGTGTTCACTGTTCACTGGCTTCCTGGGGGCAAGCTGTGCCCCTCCATGTTCACGACATGCCAGGCTGGTCTTGGTCAGGTCTTGCTTCCCTTGCCTTTCGTCCTAGGTTCGGGGTCTCCGTTGACGACGAGCTTGCAATTCCTGACAGGTGCTGGAAAGCAGGGCACTCGAACAAATCAGAAATACACAGATGCATAAAATGACAACTCAACTCCATCTATAAATGTAGGACCAACAAGCCCAAACAAGACCTGCTGGAAGGTCCTGGTATGAACCCAAAAGTACCGAC